GGGGTGGGGGCAGAAAGTGGAAATGAAAGCAGACAACAGAACATTGCTAGAGAGCAGGAAAGGAGGTGAAAGGAGACAATTTTAGAGAAGAAAATTTTTCGGTCGCTACCCGGATTCGAACCCGGGACCTTTGATTGAGAGGCCAACACCTTAACCTCTAGGCCCCGAGAGCCCCCTCAGCCTTTTAGTTTTAGTAAGAGTTATACACCTAGCTCTCACTGGCAACATTGAGGGCAAGCGAGGCAGGGGTAGGCCCAGAACAACATACTTAGGGAACCTAAACAAATGGGGAACAGGAAAAAATCAGGGAAACGCAGCTTTTTTTTAGAGCATCCGAGCAAAGGAATGAATGGAAAACCATGATCGCCGATGTCTGTCGCAGATCTGGCATTGGATGATGATGATGAAGAGTTATACGACACTTGCAACACAATAAGGACATATAAGTGCCGAAGAATTGATGTGTCACAAGAGAGTAACGTATATAAAAAAAAGAAGGAGAAGAGACAGTTTAGTTTTAGTAGAGGTTTTACGGCGCTCGCAACTGCATAAGGTCATATGAGCGCCAGAAGATTAGAGGTGTTACAATAGAGTAACATAAAAAAAAAAGAAGGAGGAGAGAAAAGGACGATAGACATTTAATGGGAAAGAAGGAGCAAACCACACCGGAGCACCCGCCAACCACCCACAGACAAGAAGTACATGTAGGACCTACGAGAGGCGCCCTCAGACATACCCCCCCCCCTTTCAATCAGCCTCTACTCACTTGTAAACATTCGCACTTGATGCAGACCATCACCCCTTGAGGTTCGAACAGCGGACTCCAGCGGGCGCCGAAGCGGTAGTGCTGCCCGTCCATGTAGCAGCCTGAGTCACACAAAGAAAGAAAAAAAACAGTGTTATTATTTTATTATTTTAAAAAAATAGTTTTTCTTGTTAGTGTTTTATGACACTGGCAACACAATATGGCCCTATAAGTGCCGAAGATTAGAGGTGTTACAAGAGAGTAACACACACAAAATAGTAGGAGGGGAGAAAAGGACGATAGATGTTTGACAGGAAAGAAGAAGCAAACCACACCAGAGCACCAGCCAACTTCCCACAGTGTTGTTTATTTAGGGATTTCATAAATAAAACAAACAACCCCCCC